GTTGGCAGTGGCCACACTCCCTGCCATCAGGTCCATCCCGGTTGCTAACAGACCTACCTGGAAACTCTGCATCTGCCTGCCTCATCCTTCTCCCAAGGAGCGCCTGGTGGGTCTGAACAGCCCAATGCTTTCCCAAGAGGGTCACGAGCAGCGGTCCTCTAGGTACTAAGGAAGGAGTGCTACGTCTCTGCCACAGAGTTTCGTAGCCAAGTTAATATTCAAAGCTATCATAATCATTTGACTCTGCCGGAAACTCAAAACGGACTGGACAGTCAGCTTTTCAAGTCCCTTAGGTCAGCACCCAGGCACCGGCTCCGGACTTACTGTGCCGAATACCCCCTTTTCAGGTGGGGGGAATTAACTCAGCGCCACTCTGACAATTAAAAATGTTTGTGCTATAGCCCATAATCTAGGCGTCAGCCTGTTCCTGCACCCACCAGGGGGCGACATTGGCCCTGGGAAACACCAGTCTAGAGGGAGGGCCAGGTCTTGTTCTTGGAAGACATGATGTGAACGTTTAGATCCTTGGAAGTGTCTTCTGATCCAGGGCCCCGTATGCCACTGATCAATCAGTGCAGGACAGTGGTTAAAGAGACATCAGAGAACATAATCCAAGGCCAGGCATCTCTTACATTTATTGGAGGATTTTTAGTTGGGGAGGAAAGATCACAGGCTTAAACAAGATAAAAGATAATAGATAAAAGAACAATTAATTGCAAATTATTACATAAGTCCTTTAAGTCACAGCTAAAACACAATTTTAAAAATGTTTTTAGTGCATCCTGAAGTTCCTAGTTTGGTAAATGAATACATTAAATTACCGAATAGGGAAGGAAAACAAAGGTTACTGCTACAGAGTACAAGATCTTAATGTAATTAACTCAGCAGAGTCAAATAAACAGCTACAATTACTCAAAGCTGCTTTTGACACATATCAGGTATATTAAACAAGAGTCTGGATTACTGTTAACACTGCACAAGTAACCAAAGGTAGCAAATCCAGCAATAGCAAAGCCTGATATTAAATAGTCTTCAAACAGTACAACCCAAACCCAATAATAACCACCTACAGCTACGACTCTCCCATACAAAAGGAATGTACATGGATGGTAAGGAACAATAAATAAATAAAGTGACACGAGTGACTAGTCCTGTACCCGCCCCTTCCGAGCAGGGGTACAGTGGATGGGTAAAGGCTTGGAGGGCATTGTGCAGAAAACGAGGGGCAAGAACGCACTTCCCTTCAGCAGAGTGCTCAGGCTGAGCTCAGCTAACTCTCCTGCGTGGCGCCGACAGGAAGGCAGGGTTTCACACGGAGAGTGGTTTTCCCTACACCCTGAGTATGGAAACATTACTTAAAAGAGCAAAGGGGGGAGGGGGAGAAATGTTGCGTGGAAGTTTTCAACATGTCAAAATTCAAAACCGTACAATGTAAAGTGATGTGCCGAGGACACGTGGCAGTCTGCCTGCCGGAGGAGAAGCTTCTCGAATAAGCACGTATCCAAGCAGACACTGGCGTCCGGCCTCACTGATGAGGCAGCCGGGCAGTGGGGCACTGACTTGGCCACAGGCCCGAGCGCGCACTTGCACGGGGTGCACTCAGGAGGCGGCTACACTTTCCTACCAGCAACCTACGAGCCTTGCTGAGGGCAGTCGAGAGTATTGTGAATTAAACTGGCTGACATCAAATTTCTGGAAGGGTCAAAGGAATATGTTTCAAAGTAGAAAGAAGTTACCACACCTATGAGGAGGCTTCAGACAGTATGAGGAAAACTCCAGTATCTTTCCATTCCATATTTTCCACAAACTTGGTGAAGCCCTCTAGTATTGACTGAACAAGTATCTGAAAGCTGTTAGAACTTCCATTAAATCACAGCAAAGGGTGAACAGATATTGTCATTTTCTTCGCTGAGTTAAAAATGAAGCATGCGTTTTTATACATCAGGGGATATTCTCAAAATCAGCCTACGTCCAAAATACAAATGTAATTTAAACTTGACTTAGCGAATTGGAGCACATGAAATATCGCCACGTTTCAGACTAAAAAAAAATGTTCTAAGAAAACAAAAGCCCTGCCGGGTGTCCCCTTGCTGCCTTTCGACAGAGCTAAGGTGGCTTGTGGATGGGTCCGCGGAGCAGTCAGCTGAACGCCGCCGGCAATCCTCCACCGAAACCACGGCAGGCAGCAGCCTGAGCTGAACCGGCAGCGAGGACGGCTCCTGACGCAGAGAGAGGTTCTGGAGACTGAGCAAGCCAGGCCGCCGAGAACGTCTTTGGAAAATCGCACACCTGAACACTACTCAGAACACTACTCAATGAAAAGATGCGGCTCCAAACACACGTCTTCTGCAGAGTAGCAAGCTTACCGCAGCGTCTTTTCACGTCTGTCAACACTCGGTATTTTCTCGGGGCCCTTGCACTGAACGGACCCAGAAGTGAGTGGGGCTCCGCTCCTTGGTGTGACTGTTGGGCCTGCTACCCCTGACCCACCCTTCGGTCAAAGTGCAGGGGTGACACAGGGACCCCAACACCACGCAGCTCCCGAGAAGAGAAAGGAAACAAGGGTATGGGGAACCTCCCCTCAGAATGACGTTTGCCCGAACAGAAAGCAACAGAAGCATCTTCAAGTACTAATACATTGTCACGTTAGCTTAAAAGAAATTCCTAACTCAGTTTTGCGGTTGATCAAACATACATGTGACCAGGTTTTTAAACACAAGGTGAGTTCATATATTTACTTTAAAAATGCAATCTACAGTTCAGAATCCACTAGCGCACGTTATAGTTTAGCACAAGCAAGCATTCCCATGGCCAGCCGTCGAAGACCCAGCCCAGGACGGCTACCCATCACGCGCCGAGAAGCTGAAGACGGAACCATTCTGTATGTGCATCTCCTGCATCCTCTCTTCAACCGCGTGAGGGAACTGCAGCAAACGCTTATGTTGAAACCTTGCTCTCTTTCTATGCTTCTACGTTTAAAAAGCCAAGGCTTGGAGTGTGCCCTCCGAAAATATTTTGATAACTCTTGGCATTCTTCTTAAAAAGCAAATACCTATTTCAGTATAAAACACATTCCTCTAATGTATTTACTCATTCAAAGTTATGGACGTGTCCCTTGTTCCCTGCCTCTCAACTCCCATGCTGTGTGCAGCCTCTACAACAGTCGGTGCTCAGGAAAAAAGGAAGTTTAAGGAAGCAAAATCCAAGTCCCTACGCAAAGTGATTTACCACAGATCACAAAATTCCCCAGGGAAGACCCACACGCTCCACGATCACGCCCGGACAGGACCAGGCTGCAATCTTGCTCCTCTAACCGTGTCAACTAGCAGTTTCTAAAGCAAAGCTGTAGAAAACGTAAAGTCCAGAAAGATCATGGCAAAAGACATCTCCCTACTTAAAAAAAACAAAACCACCACATTTTTCTAGGAAAAACCTTGCTGGAAAGGGGAGTGGGGAACGTAGGGGGAAGAGGACTTAAAGAAAAATCCAACAATAAAAACTGTGACTGTTGCTAGACCTCCCCAAATTCACCTTCTTATTAAGTTTCCAATTCAACAAGCCTCGCCATTTGAATGTTCATTTGGAGCGAGGGGGCCCAAAACAGTGAGAGAGAAGTCAAAGTGCTTACTGCGCCCTCCTTGCAGATTGCCTTATCGAAGCGCCTTTTCCATCTGAACAGTGGCTTTCCGACCCAAATGGGAAAACACAAGGACACCAGGGTGTTTCTTTACACACACACAAACTCGGTCACCCCGATGAACGGCAGCATCAGTAAATAATGTCACCTGATGACAGGCTGCGGAGACAGCACTTTACAGTGTCTGTAGAAACCTAAAACACTAAGGAACTTTCTGGAAGGAAATGGTGTGGGAACTGACAAGGACACCAATAGCTGAGCCATGGAATCAAAGCGGGTTTTAAAACAGGACCCCCAAATTCTTCCAGATGAATGAAGTTAGCTTTGGCTTTATTATTTGGTGTCAAATTAGTTATTCTTGGGAGATAATTTGCTTGCAAAGGAGCATACCTGTTGCTCCACTCGTAGTAACGAGCCAAGTTGCAACTCTCGTCCCGTACCCCATCCTAGGACACCGGGGGTGCCATATCTAGCAGCACGATTTGGATGTGGAGAGAACGCTAGGGGACAAGGTCCTGAAACCCCCATGTTGAGACCTCCCTTTACAGACACGCCGCTAGGGTCTGAACACAATTCACGTGGATTGAAGAATAAATGAAGGTAGCATTGGAACGGAGATTACAAAAGTATGAACTATTTACACTGTGGGACACAAGCCGTTTAGAAAGCTCTATCTACTTTCCGCTCAAAGTGGATTAGCATTCCCTATGCAAGTCTGACCCGTGGCGTCTTTCTCTCCCCAAACAAATCATCAGCCCGACTGGGGACTGCTTGCTCTGCCGTCTCCACGAGCCAGTCGAACAGAGGCTTGCGTTGCTGCTCAGGGGCGGCCTTCTCCAGCCCTTCGTAGTATCTCAGCACGGCCTGCAGGACGTCGCCCACCTTCCAGCCGCTGTCTTGCAGTCGTTCCGAAAGCTAGAGAAGGAAAGGGTGCCAAACGCTCATCACAAGCCATCTGAAGACAAGGCTTTCCTCTGCTTGTAACCGTCAGATGATGCGAAGACGTCTGCGGTTCCCAATGAAATGGCAAACCACCACCCCTGCCCCCAAATTAAACAGCCTTCCTTTCTGGGCTCTGTAACTCCTTCTGCTCCACAGAATGGCAATGACACTGCCCGAGACACAGCCCCACAAACTGCACCTAGCCAAGAAGCCTGGGGGGCAGGGGCGGGGGAATGCCTTTCTACAGGAAATCCGTGTCCGGACTAATGGCATCTGCCACACTCTCAGGTCAGAGCATGAAGAATTTAAGGACTACATCAAGTTTAATAAAAGGGTGAGAATTTTCATTCTGCAACACAACGTGTGTGTCTGGGGGTGGGGGTGGGGGGCGGTGGGGAGGGTCTGCAAAATATACTCTAACCTCAACAGAAACAAGGCTTTCTAAGGTGAGCCAAAGCTATGCTCCAAACGTGCGGTGCGGGGGGGAAACACAGGTTTCCCTTAACTCTGCTTCACCAATCAGAACGTGCCTTCACGCACGTTGTTCCTATTACTAAAAATCAGTGAAATGTCTCTAACTGTGGAGCAGTGACATTACTCGGAATGGCTCCTCTCTCCAGGCCAGTTGAACTCGCACACAAATAGGGCGTGAGACACTCGTAGGGGCATCTCAGAAGCATGGAGGGAGCCCCAGGGCCATCAGGAAAGGGGAGCGAGGGTTCTGTCTGAAGGTGTGGAGACCTCGGACCGTGACGCAGAGCATCGGCCGGCTTCCTGGACCACGGAGGCGGAGGCCAAGGGGCCACGTGTGACTGCGGGGCTGAGGACCAGTGCTGCTGGGACGGCCCACAGACATACCCTCAATATTCTCCGGTCCTGGCCATGGTACCCTGCGAACTTCCATAAGCACGGAGGTCCGTCTGAGTTCAGTGGGGCTAGTGCTATCGACAGATTATGGACCCAGCACGGTGCAGTGCCGTACGAGGCAGGGTGAGCGTCAGAGGAGGGTAAAGAAGGGCGACGGGTGGAAGCAGTCTGACCCCTGCAGTTGGCTCTCAGGGAGGGCTGGCACTTGCCCTTCCTGTCTTCTCCCCTGACCTCGGCCATTCACTTACAAAGCACCTCTTCCTGTCCTACGTACTCCATCTGAGCCCCCTCCCCGGAAAAGGAGCCCCATGAACACCCTTGCCTGATGACCGAGAAGGCAGAGGCTCAAGTTCATCCAAGGAAGGCTGGGAAGAGAGGCTCTTCTGCAAACCCAGCCAGAGAGCCCCGAGGGGCACTTCTCCTGAGGTGGGCTTCTACACTACGAAGCTACACTGACTTGAGGGCACCTTTGTTTTTTAACTAGAAAATCCCAAAAGTTAAATTCAAAACCAGAAATGCAGAGTAAGCAAATCAAGGTTACAGTAAGGAAAATTCTGGCACGCACAGGCCAAGACAATGAAGGAAGGAAGACCATGACTGATGATGTGTTTGGCACCTCTCATTTGTTCAAGAAAAGCAACCTGTCAGGGCATCAGATCTAAATGCTGTCAGATGTTTAAACTTTTCCTGGCTTTTGATTGTGCCAGCTTCTCATACAATGAAACTGGATTAGCAGAAAAAGAGACGTGCTAATTACTAGCCTCAATTCTGAATCAGTTAAATATAACTCCATCTTCCACATAATAAGCACTTAAAATGCTTATTAAGAACACCTAACTTTTGAGAACTTGGTAGGCGTCACTCGGTATTCTTAAAGTACTTCAAGCCTCACAAACCCCTGCAAGGGATCTTCTAGCCTCGTCTCTACCGTGCAAGAAGGAAAATGGAGGCGTATGGCTAACCTACCCAAAGTTACACCGCTCAGAGGCTGGCAGAGCAGAGATCTGAGCCCAAATACTGGTCGCGACGGTCTAAGAACTGAACTTCTCCGCTACAACAACAGGCGACTTCCTAGAATGCGCATGGCAGAGAGCATGGCACCTGGGAAACGCGCCCTCTCGTCCGTCCCACGATCGACACTCACCAGTATGAACTCCTTCTTGACTGAGTCGTGGACGTACAGTTCTTCAACTTCAGCCTCAGAAGCAACGAGCCACTGCAGAATCAGCCTCAGCTGGGGGTCGATGGGACACAGCTCCATGTCAACGTTGGTAATCCGCAGAGCCTTTCCATCGTGCCCCAAACCTACTGTTACAATGTAAACAGTACGGTGACACAAAACTGGTGGATTCAACATGATCCTCTGGTTTCTAAGTATTTATAAATGTTTTTCGTTTATTAAGTTTCCAATAAACACTGGGGTGGGGAAGCAGTATTTTCTAAAACACACAACGGCAACTAAACCATTTCTGCAAAATAGCATGAAAACGATGAAATACCTTGGCATATTTACCAAAAGCACAAATGCAGCACACTCATCTGATACACTGAACTCCAGAACTATGAATGTTCTAATGCATGTCAGATTACGATCTAGATATGAGAGCAAATAAAACCATCTTCATAATACAAATATGAATACAACACAAAAATAAAGACCTCAGATTAAAATACGGGCTTTAAGCAAGCATCCTGGACTATTTGAAAAGGACCTCTTTTAAAGTGTTAAAAAGACAAGCTGTCCCCTTGAGGACTGGGGTGCACCTGACCAAGCCAGGGTATTTCCAATCGCCTCCAAAAGCTGGGTAGTGAATAAGGAAGACTGCAAAAGAATGAATGCACATGGATTATGGCATTGGCAAAGAAGACTGATTATACCACGAAATGCCAAAAGAACCAACACGTCCTCAAAAAAGTAGTCAGGATGCTCCTTAGAAACAAGGGTGGCCAGGCTTCAGATCAAGTACTTTGGACCTCTTATCAGGAGGAAGTATCAGTATGTCACACTTGGCAAGTAGAGGGGTGGGTGAAAAAGAGGATGGATGGGCACAAGGGCAGCAACAGTGAGCTCAGACAAAAGACTGACTGTGAGGACGGTGCAGGCCCAGGCAGGGTTTCGTTCTGTTGTGCTGACTCCACGGCACTGAACAGCAGCAAACACGGACAGAGCACATGTTCCATCTAGCCACTCTGCTAAGCTCCTTCTTTAATCCGCACGGGAACCCTGGTGGCATTAAGGGTTACCCATTGAGCTGCCAACCACAAGGCCAGCAGTTCAAAACCACCAGTCACTCCTCAGGATAAAGACAGGGTTTTCTACTCCCGTAAAGAGTTACAGTCTCAGAAACTCACAAGGACAGTTCTACTCTGTCCTACAGGGTTGCTCTGAGTCAGCATGCACCTGGGAACTTCCATCACTCCTGCTTGAAGATGAGGACACTGAGGACAAGGGAAATCAAGGGCTCCCAGCAAGGAAGTGGCTGAACCAGGATGAGCACCGGCAGTCTGGCTCCCAGCTCTTGATCAGGTCATTCTTCAGGCAAAACGCAAACAAAGGAAAAGGCCATATACAACAGCCACTTAGGTCCCAGACATCGGAGCAGAGATGCTCCACGCAAGCTTGTTTCCTCCTTATGAAAACTATGTTTCAACACAGTGGGGGCTGGATCTCCTTTGACTACAAAATGCATCATCTGTGGGTCGATAGCATGAATTTAGGAGCCCTGGTAGCACTGGCGAAAGCACTCCACTGCTGTCTGAAATGTTGTCAGGTCAAACCCAGCAGCCACTCCAAGGAGAGAAATGGGAGCAGTCTGCTCCCCAAAGACGCAGCCAGGAAAACTCAAAGAGACGTTCTACTCTGCCCCATGGGGTCACTGTGGCCCAGAATGCACTCACCGGCAGTGGGTGCTTTGTGCTCTGGGTGCGGCATGTGTTTAGCAACCTGGCTTCCAGTAAGCAGAGCTGCCTGCCAGACACGGGCCCTCGCGCACTCTAAGGGATGCCCACTCGGGCCTGCTGGGGGCAGCTTGGAAACTTGTCCCATTAATGGAAATACTGTGGGGGGATGGCCTTTTGTTTTGCTTTGTTCTTTGGTATTATTTTACAATTTATGGGTTAACTACAGAGCTACTGTTGTAGGTTGGTACTCATCATTTTCAGCACGTGTTGGCCCCTAATTTTTCAAGAAAATGTGGCCTTCATGATCATCTTAAAATGAACTTCATGCCCTTGCTCTCTACCCCTCATTTCCTTCCAGTTGTAAAATGCATCTGATACACTAGGTACGGTAAGATCTCCAGGACATTTTATAAATCCTGCAGTTTTATAACATGGAAGGAGCCTTGCTGGAGCTGTCAAGTAAGTGTTGGACTGCCAACTGCAAGGCTGCTAGTTCAAACCCACCAGCTGCTCCTTGGGAGAAAGATGAGGCTATCTGTTCCCGTAAAGATCTGTAGTCTCAGAAACCCTATACAGGGTTGCTCTGGGCAGTAGGTTTGGCTTTGGAACCAAGGCTTCGCTCCAGCCACTATGGATGTGCACTCAGTTCAGGGATCCTAGCTGCCAGGTCTGACAGGAACCTTGAAGACGAGTTGGCAGACAATAAAGGACTGAACTGATATGTTGTAACTGCCTGTGCTCACACACACTTGCAAAGAAAGAAGTCGAGATTTGTTGTCTTGGAATTTCCACCAGTTGGGATTTTCTAACTAATCAATCTAGCACCTAATTTACACTTTTTTCTCTTTACCAAACATAAAGTGTTATATAGCTTAAGCATAATAGCAAAAGCTGAATGAGGTAGTTAGTTTATTGTGCCAGCCTGGCCAATAAACTCATGTGGGATTAACTGAAAGGCGGAGAGATAAATGGCTCGGCGAGCCTCGCCTTTCTTGTCTCTCGCTCTTTGATCATCGGACCAGTGTGCGGCTGCTTTGCTTGTTCTGTGCCTCAATTTGCAAGCTACACTACCTGTGGGACACCTAACCTGTAGACTGTGTCACTGTAATTTGAGGTTCCTTTAAGACCTGTTTCGCCACCCAATTGGAATTTACATCTCTTGAGCTGGGGACTGACTGTTGGTGACCTGGCTGGCAGTTGGTGACCTGGCTGACGGTTGGTGCTCTACCTTGCTGTTTGCTGCCTGTGGCGGGATAGCCTGTCGGCCCTCAAGACTTGAAGGACTGCCAGTGTCTCACAACTCTCTAACACATTTGAATTGTACTGAGCCATTTGTACTGCTTTATAATTTAACTGTTTATTTCTTGTGTTAAATGTATCTATCTATATAAATATAAATATATATATATATATATATAATTATTAGAAATCTGATTTCGTCTCTCTAGAGAACCCTAACACACTGAATGACGGCAAATCTACAGATGACCCTCAACCAGATGGACAGAAACAGTGGTTGCCACATTGGGCTCAAGCATCCCAACTGCGAGGATGGCGGAGGACCAGGCCAATGTCCTGTTCTTTGGTGCACAGTCACTATGACTCGGTGCACTGAACAATAACAACAACATATTAACTGACCATATTCATTTCCACGGATCACAAGAGATATCCTGAATCGTTGGCTAGTGTCAGAAGGAAAAGTTTGGGGTTTTTTTAAAATGAATTTCATATTTAAATTAACTTCTTTCCTCCTAAACGTCTTTCAGTGATGTTACTAAATAATAAAAAGTTCATTAAGGAGGGGGGGGACTTTCACATACATTAATACCGCATAAAATCTTTGTTCATAGGTTATATTTCGGAACAGTAGAAAGTTTTTCGAGATAAAGATCACTTCTTCAGTGAGCAAAAAGAAACATTACACATCGCCTATCAATAATTCTAAAATAATAGCCCTATTTTTAACTATCTAATGAGACGAAAATATTTCTAAGAAACCTTACAGGAATCCGCGTGTCTACTTAACAAGAGATATCAGAATTTTTAAAATAATAATCTTAAAGCTGAGCATTCTAGCTCAACAATTGTCTCCTGGAGTCACATTACATGACTGTGCTAAACAGGCCATGCCCCTGGCGAGGAAGCCAGCTCAAAGGTCGGGGGTCATGAAGTGTACCTTAACACACTCAGGGCGGCCATGTCTCAGTTTTCCCACCTCCAAGGAAACAGTGGCAAGATAGAAACATCACTGGGCTCAGAAACAATGATCTTAAAGCAGGATGAATATTTTCTTATGTGCCTCTAATGGTATTTTCAAAATTAAGGAAAAGGAAGATTTAGGGAGAGGGAATGATTCTGTCATCTAAATATTAATGGAATTCAATTTCAACATGAAAAATGTCCAGATTCATTCGGACACGCTAATACATCTGAATTAAGATTACAAACCATGACTCAAAACTCTGGAACCCGTGTTGTGTCTGGAACTGTGTTCATTATGGGAAGACTGGAAAACGTTCAGGGGTCTGTGTGATGGGGTGAGTGGGGGTGTGAGTAATAAAGGCCTGGGGTTGAGGAAGGGATGAGATGACTTAGAAATATCTTTTGGGTTTTATTTACTGATTCATGCAACTTTGGCATTAACAGCTCATTTCAGAAATTATAGGTTTGGAAGGAAGAAAGTAACTATTCCAATAATATGCCATGGATTTATAATAAATCATTACATAAAAGGAGGCCTGTATGGGGATAAGACAGACCAGAAAGAAAGGGCTGGTGAAATGCTTCAGAAACTGAGCCAATGGAAATTCAATGGGTCACAAGTCTGGCCCACAAGCAGCCCTGGGCGGCACAGGGATGACAGGCAGCACGTCTCTGACGGAGTCTATGGGCATCGTGAGTGGAGAGCTGAAACACTGGCAGCAAACAATACTCTGCACAATCGGAGCACAGGTTTGGAATTTGTACTTTGAATAACATGCTTCTAGACGTTCCCTCTCAAATGACTGAATAATCCTCCCCAAATATTTCAGTGTTTACACCACTGAGTACTTCCATTAGCTTAGCAACCCAGCGAGGTGCTCAACAAGAAACCTGGAGTCGAAGAGGGAAAGGCAGATCAAGAGCACTCAGACTGCTGCGGTTTCACACAACTCCCACAGGGCTCACTGGTGTGATGAAATCGCACAACACAAACATTACTGACCGACATGCGACAAACCAGGGAACACCTAGGAAAGTACAAAATGTCGATTACCTTCTACATCGGCCCCATGCTCTTCATCTTTATCATCGGGTTCATCACTTTTTCAATAAGATAGCAGAAGCAGTTAAAAAAAAGGAAAAAGCTTTAATTAGTGATGGTCTTAAAACGCGGTAAGGAACGTTGCTATATGAAGTATGACATTCAGAAAGGAGAGAATGGTGATGCAAAAGGAAGCTTTGCTTCTCACACCATTTCATGTTAAAATATGAATTGCAAATGATGCCCAAAATAACTTATCTATCGATAAAATCAAGAAGTCCTACCTTTCGATGAAAATGAAAAGCCAAAACCCACTGCCATCAAGTCGATTCTGACTCTGAGCCACACTGCAAGGCAGAGTGGAATGCCCCACTTGGCTGCCACATCTTTCTCCCTGGGAGTAAGTAGCTGGTGGTTTGAACCACTGACCTCCCAGGTAGCAGCCAAATGCTAACCACTGCTCACCATAGCTTCTCCATGGCATAAAGTACCAAATGACTTCATCAAGTGAAATTCAAAGCCAAAATTTTCTACCAATTTGGTTTTGGAGAACACAGCATTTGAGTACCATAGAATGAATGCCATGAGTAATTAGGCACTTCTTAATGTTTCTCATTATGTCATTTATACAAATGCTTCAACAGAGTACACTGTCCCTACACTTTTTAAATATATTAAATAAAACTACATACAGAAACAAAAACCAAAACAGAAATTCTGTAGGAAGCAAGCTCTTTGTAAATGAATGATTGGTAGAATGAGACGCAGCAAGCACATGCATACAAGTAACCCATTTTGCAATTAGATGTCAGCCAACTCAGCGTGGTTGGATTTTTCCGTTAGATGTAAATTGATCAAGCAGAATCATGTCAAAACATAGGAGAAAATCAGGTTGATACATGTTGCACTGTAACCCACATGTTTTTTAAATGACTCATGCATTAGTGGTGAAAGACTCATCAGTTTTTAAGTGTCTGGTCTGGACCAACCTGTCTGATGTTGGAAAGGATAAATTGTCCTCATACAAATCTCCTTCTAAACCAAGACTGCTCCAGCTACTGCTGTTCCCATTACTGCCAGGGGAAGAAGAGAACAGAGCTGAACCAGAGATGACGCGAGAGGATGAACCGCCCTTCGTCGTCCTGCGAGCAGCTGCGGTCCGTGACCACTGCAGATGTTCTGGAGCTGCCACCAGGGGGCGGAGGCAGAGAGGGACCAGGAGGGCTACTCTAAACGTGACGTGGGATGTTCACGGATTCAGGCGTTTCCCGGTCCTCAAAAAGCCACACAAACTATTCTAAACTTCACGTTCTTTGACAGAGTAATACAACACATGGGCCTTTTAGGGCAGAAAATAAACGCATAATGTAAGAGCTTTCACACTGAGATGTGTGTGGCACACTCGGGTGTTTCAGTTTGAGGACAGTTTAAAAGGAATTTTTAATAGGCAACATTCTCACAGGTCTTGAGATGGTACGAATGAGTGACGGGCCTGGTGGCAGGTGGGCGGAAGTCGCCGAGGTCCAGGCCCCCGTGGCCTTTTCTAGCCCCGGGTCTGCTGACTTTAAGTACTCTGCCAGCCACCTTTCTCCAGACAGTGATCATGCAACCGTGGCCGTAACGTGTGTGCTCCTTAGAATACAGCTACAGTAAGAAAGGTCTGGTCAAGAATTACACTTGTCTGCCCACGCAGCTTTATACTCCCTGATGAAAAGAAAAAGGTAAAAAGCAAGAGCAATATCGATAACACAGTCTACAAAAGCAAGAACAGTCTAAAACTACTGCAAAGCCATTTTTAAAAAAGCAACTATATTCTGAAACAAAATTAAATGTAAAATGTTCAGACTTAAACCTCTAACGTGCAACTTTTAAAAATCCTGACCATTAAAATCATTAGTAAGCACATTAGTTTGCAGTGACAAGCAGCTGTATTTCTAATATGAGGGATGCATAAGACCAGGCATTATAAAAATCAAATGTGGGGTTCTAAAAAGGGAAATAATGTATAAAGCACTTTACATATGTAGATAAATATTGACAAAATTGCCCCATCCAAAACAAAAATTTTCAACAATTTACAAATCTATTTTCACTCTTTAAAAACCCACCGCTATCGAGTCAGTTCTGACTCACAGACCCCCGGGCAGAGCAGAACTGGCGCTGCGGGTCTCCAGGCGAACGCTCTGCAGTGGCACATCTCTCTCCGGAGCAGCCAACCTTGCGGCCAGCAACCAAATGCTGAACCCACTGTGCCACCAGGGCCCCTTCTAGCCACTTTAGCATTACCAAACTATCTCAAAAAAATCAGTGCACGAGACACTAAAAGTTAAAACTGAGCAGTGTTTTTTTAATACACATCCTTCAGCAACCAGGAGGGCTGTCCAGAATCCTCCCCACCTCTCAACACTAAAAATCCCTGGATTGCCCAAGACCCTAGTAAAATGCGTAAAGCTATTTACATATAGCCTACGCACATCCTCCACACCAAACCAAACCAAACCAAACTCACTGACATTGGGCTAATTCCGACCTACGGGCAGAGTAGACCTGCTTGTGGGTTTCTGAGCTTAACTTTGATGGGAGTAGAAGCCTCCTTCTTCCTCCCGCACAGCAGCCGGTGGTCTCCAACTGTAGACTTTGTGGTTCGCAGCCCAGAGAGTAACCCACCAAAGCTCCTATGTGGCATCCTTTAAATCATCTCTAGATGACTTTTGACACCTAATGCAATGTAAATGTTACATAAGCAGCACTTTCTGCCCCTCGGAACCTTTGCAGGATTGCTTCAACCACCTAATTGCTTCCCACTCCCTCCCCACAAATCTTTTTAATCCACAGTTGGTTGAATCCACAGATGCAGCACCCACAGACAGAGGGTCGATTATATGTTCAAACAAAAATAACTCTATAATTGAACCACTGATACAACCCCAGAGTTTTGTTAACATCATCCGCTGTCAGAGAAACCAAACTTGAGAAAATATAAAAATACGTTAGGTACAGATGACTGGACCCAGGAGTAAGAGAAAATGAATGATCCCAAACACTATTTATTGTTATTAATTAGAATAACTAAGAAATGAAAAACAGAACATTTAAATCCTTACCCATATCCTAATAACAATGACTCTTTCCTTTAATTAAATTTTTTTTTAAAAAAAATACTTAAAGCTTAAAAAAATACACTACAACAACATAAAGACAAAATTTAAGCTCCTCTTATACAACCCTGCTCCCTATTCCCTTACACACCTCAAAAGCGGACAGATTTGAAGTCAATTCTTTATCCAATGCCATATGTAACTAGGGGGATCTCACTAGGGTGCTTGGAAAACAAGTCACTATTAGTAACTACATGAGAACAGCAGCACCGAGCCAGGACTACCCAAGCATCATCCCAGGGTGGTACCTTTTGTGTACGATGCGTCAGACCCCTCTCAACAGCACCAACCCCACGCCACGCAAAGCACGCTACTCTAACTCAGCGTGAAACCACGCAACTTCCTGCCGTAACACTTATCCTGTTTCTCTCTTGACCGCTGTCTCCTTCCTGCTCCTGTCATTTTCTTTTCTGCCTTTTCCCCTTTCCCATGTCCAGAACAGGCATCCTTCCACCTTCAAGCCAAGAGTAATCAAGGACTGACATTCTTGTTGTGGCTTTTACTTGGATGAAGCCGATTCTTGCACGGTCATAAAAATCAGCTCCAAAGCTCTCCAAGTCGGACTCGTCTCTTCTCTAATATACTTGGTAATTCCCAAGAAGCTCACAACGTGTCTGAAATCTTTTAAGGAATTCACATATAAAGATCAGCTCTTTTCCTGATCAAATAATTATACTTTCTCTTCAAAAGCCTTCGGACAATTTGAAGCTGTTTTTAAATTGCTCCCATATACTCCCATATTCCTTACAGCCAAAGTGCAAGGTGTGCCCACACCAGTAAGCCTCTTCTTATTTCTTGTCCTGATCTCTGCACCAGAAAGGAACAGCATGTACTGCAGACGTCATCAAACGATGTAATGGGCACAGCAATGTATCAAGTATGGCCTGCATTCAAGCCACCTGAGGTGCTTTATCCAACAGGTAGACTCAACGCAACCCTAATGAATCTAGATCTCTGGAAGGTGAGGCTCTGGGAATTGTAGTTCACAAGCAGCCCACCAGCCCTGAATGAAAATGTACAATCAGCTACAAGGCCTGCATCTTAATTCCCATAATGTTGTTAGCTCATGCTATGGTCTGATTGTGGCAAATTAAAACCACAATCCTTTCTCTGCCAAAATTCAAGGCTCCCCACTCCTGAATACAAATAATTAATGTGCTAGCCCTAAAAGCATTTACCCACGTTAAGGAGAATTATGTTGTCCTCTGCCCAAATCGGTCCTTCTAAACCCTGGGCTTTGTTAACAAGATTTTATTTCAGTGTCATTTTGAGTCTTCCACAGATAATGAGTACATCACTCATTAATAACACTAACAAGGAAGAAACAAGGACAGAGCCTAGCTAATTCCTCCTGTTAATCAAAGCAGGTAGCATTCTATAGAGTGGTGCAAGTGACTGTCACCAGCCCCCATCTGAAGGAGCCCTGGTGGTGTGGTGGGTGACGTGTTAGGCTACAAAACACGGCAATTTGAACCCACCAGGGGCTCCATGGTAGAAAGATGGGCTTTACGCTCCTGGAAAAACTTACCAGCCTTAGAAACTCTCAAGGGCAGTTCTTCTCTGTCCTATAGAGTGGCTATAATTTGGCATCAACTCAACGGTAGCAAGGAGAGGAGCCTCTAGGTATAGTTCTCCCACTCAAATACCAGGACTTCCTTAACGACAACTCTCACACAAGTCCTCGAAGCCTCTGTTTCTCAAAGATGAAAGAGATTGAGTGTTTACTCTAGATAAAGTAATGCACGAGGGCTATAGCATGTGTGATAAGAGTCCACCACTTAGAGCTACCACTTTCAAATACTGCCTTTTCCAATCTGGGTTTTAAGAAGTATTGGCATCAAACATAGGACTGGGATGATGTCTTCCAATGGTAAAAGACCATTTCCTTCCTTACACTAACTCAACTCCTCCTCCAACTGTCTTCCTGAGAGGCCAAGTCCAAGAGTCCTCATGGGGTCCTCGTTCCTGCAGCCCGAGTCAGAGGGTATATGCAGATGACCCTTTCCTCTCCCTGGACTCGGCTATGAATAGTATTTCTCATGTCTCATCATCAGTTACGACAAATGAGTTCACAGGTTATTCAGGAATGCCTTAACAATATGAGCATTCATTTAATCATAATAAACAGTCCAAAAACTGCTGGTAATCTTTTTTATTATATATAAAGCAAGCAACTCCTACTATATCACAGGATTTTTTTTAATGGATTTGATTTCTATGTTTTCAATAATTCAGGTATAAAAGCTCTAAGTCATTTTGTGGCTGAACAGCAGGACAATTGGGAAACCACCCCCTAAAGATATTACGTAATAGTAGCAAAAGTTACAGGGCCTCTTTGATGCCTTCGACAGACAATGTTCCTTTTTGTTACCCACTGAAGAGTGAAGGGGGGGCGGGGCGGAGAATATTCTCTTTAAAGAGAGGAAGAAAGTTTTTTCTTAAAAACATTCATTAAATGTCTAGGAAATGCTTAAAAGGTATAAATTCAAAATAGGAACTATTTTTCATATCACATATTGGCACATTCAAAGAAGGACTACTCAACTAATTATATAATAATTATTGCACTATTAGAAATATATGAATCATGAAACCAAGTTTAAAGCCAATGACACGTTTCCATATTAGGAATTTTCCAGAAGCACCCAATATACATGGTTCAATTCTGCAGTCTGAGCAACGAAACAATGCTGTTAAATGGGAAAAGGCCAGTTACCTTTCACTTAGATGATGAAAACTGCTGCTCTCATCCTGATGTTCATCCTCAAAACTCAAGTTGGACCAGCTACCAGTGCTGTCTTCACCAATACTGAGGTTCATTCGCTGGTTACCCAAAGACTCCAGTGATGGAAAGTCATCTCTTTCTTTTAAACTACAAAAGGAAAACAATCAAATTGAAACCATCAGATTCTGAAATACATGACTATCAATTTCATGAAACAGATGATAAAACACCAGAAATGATATTCCGAGTCAAATCAGTGGTACGTCTCACCCTTTGTTTCTGCTAATAATACGTTGGGCATGTTACGGAGGAATGACCAGTCCCTGCAAAAGGACCAGTAAAGTGGAAAGGCATCAAAACAGAGGAAGCTCCTCAATGGGGACTGGCCCAGTGGCTGCAACGATGGGCTCAATCAGCGCAATTGTGAGGATGGCTTAGGAGTGGGCAAGTGTTTGCTCTGATGTACACGTGGGGTCAGCATGAGTCAGATCTGCCTTGACATCATCTACCAAACAACAGAAAGACTTCACTGGAGAGCACATCCATTCAAACGCTAACAGAGCTACGCACCAACACTGATAACTTACCTAATAATCTATTCTGTATCCATCTCCAGGACGTCATTCATCAAACGCTTCTTAAAGCTGTTCATATTTACTTCTTTTCTACTAACAGGGACCACCGTCTAGCTTTGACCCTTGATTTGCCATTCAAGTCTATATCGAAATAAGCTAAATCGCTTCACAATTTTGGGCTGTCACGATAACCCTTCTCACTTTCTTTCAATGAAGACATCGGCATTCTGTACGCCATTCACTGTTCTGTTTGCTACTTGCCTCCTCCATGCTTTATTCTCAACGTAACTGTTAAACAATGCTTTTAAACATGAAGCTGGATGTCAGGTGTTTGCTCAAAACCTTCCCATGGTTTTACACCAATCAGAGTAAGAGCCCAAGTCATCAGCCACATAAATCTCTGGCCAAATATGCAAAATCCTACCCCTTGATTGGAATATCCAGATTCTCTCTAGAAGATATACACAGATTTCTAGAAACGTACTATTACCTAAACTAAAACAGAATCAAGTAGAAAATCTGAACAGACCAACAACAAAAGAAAGTATTATTCAGATGATAAAAAAAAACTCTCAACAAGAAAAAGAGCAGGCCCAGATGGTTTCACTAGTGAATTCTAGCCCATAGGTGGAGAACTGACACCAATTCTACTGAAAACTATTCCAGAACACAGAAGAGAATGAAAACTACTGAGTTACTTCTATGAGGTGAGCATAACCCTAATACCAAAACCAGGTAAAAATATCATCAGAAAAGGAAATTATAGATCACAACATCCCTCATGAACACAGGTGTTCAAATTCTCAACAAAATCCTAGCCGACAGAATCAAACAATGTCATAAAAATAATATATCGGGGGAGTGGGGAGGGGGGCAAAATGGGCAGCTGATATTAGGGGCTAGAGTAGAAGGCAAATGTTTTGAGAATGATGAGGGCAGAGAATGTATACATGTGCTTGACACAATGGATATATGTGTGGATTGTGATAAGAATTGTACGAGCCCCCAATAAAATGATTTTTTAAAATAAATAAATAATATATCGTGGCCAAGTAGGATTCATACCAAGTATGTAAAGATGATACAACATTAGAAAAACAACCAATGTAGCTTGTCACATGAAAACAGAAAAAGAACAGCATGAGCACAACTGATGAAGAAAGGGCATTTGACAAAATCCAACACCCGTTCTGGATAGAAGTACTCAACAAAGAAGGAATAGTAGGGAAATCATTTTCAACGTGTTTCAGGGCATATGTACAAAACCAAACGCCAACGTCAGTCTCAACAAAGGAAAAATGAAAGTATTCCCCTTGAAAACTGGAATCAAGACACTCTCATCACCACTCCTAGTCAATACAGTGAGGAAAGTCTTAGCCAGAGCTATAAGGCAAGAAAGGAAAATTAAACCGGCAAAGAGGTAAAAACTCTTTGTAGATGACTCATAGATGGTATGATCCTATAAACAGAAAATTCCAAAGACTCAGTAAAAAAATTGTTACATTGTTACAAGTAATGAAAGATTTGGCAAACCAGCAGAGTAAAAGACAAAACATACAAAACTCAGTCAGATTCCTTCAGGCTAACAAAGAGAGCGCTGAAAGAGAAATCAGGAAAACACCACCATTTACAACTGCCACCCAAAAGTGAAATACTTAAGAATATATCTAACTAGAGAAACAAAAGATCTGTACAAAGAAAACTGTAAGATACTAGAAGACCTACAAAAATGGAAAAATAGGCCATGTTCATGCACAGGAAGCCACAGTGTGAAAATGTCAACACTACCCAAAGTAATCTATAGATATAATACAATTCTTATTCAGATTCCACTATCATTCTTTAAATAAATGGAAAATCTAATCGACAACCTTATATAAAAAGCTAAGAGGTCCCAGATAAGCAAAAATAGTTCTAAAAATGAGCCACATAACCAACTGTTCCGAAAAGGAATGAGAGAAAAATGAGACTAACATAATATAGTTTTTCAAACTAGTAACACTAGACTGTCTTGATGTTTTGCCGTGGTGAGGGTGAAAAGTGAGTTTAACTTATTTAAATCACTAAGCATAAATCAGATCTATTGAGAAACATAACTCTATAGGGCTGTTAGGAAAAATTTGACCGCCACACTGTGGGCCTATCCAGAGAGGCAATAACTAGTGGCAGTAGTATTTAGAGCACCTGGTTAAAAAAGAAAACTTACCTTTGTGAATGGAACTAAGAAAACACTGTATAAAGTGCCCTCAGAGTGGCACATTAATGAAGTGGTCATCTCTATTGAGGAGTTCCTGGCAAACAGTTAAGTGCCTTAACATCTGTAGCAGTTACATAATCTACTGTCAACTGGAGGTAGGGGTGGGGTCTAGCCTGTCAATCAGGTCATAGCCAATGAGGCCTCTGTGTGGGTATGGCCTTTTCCTGAGGATTCTGGGAAGAGGGACACACACTCTCCCTGCGAGACATTCCTGTTGACAAGCCACATGGAGCTAAGCTGATGGTGCCAGAGCCCTACAGCTGGAGGAGCCATGTGGAGACCCACGCCAGTGCTGAGATGAGATGCTTCTACCACCACTGTGTGTTAGTCCAGGTATACTAGCGAAACAAAGACGCTTCATGAAGACGCTTATGTGTATAAAAGAAAACTTTATATAAAGAGTAATTGTACATTAAGAAAACATCCCAGCCCAGTCCAGATCAAGTCCATAAGTCCGTATTAGCCCATCTGTCCACTTCATAAAGTCTATAAAGTCCTCTTCAGACTCACAAAACACATGCAACAATGCCAAAAGCAGGAAGATCACAGGCCGGTGGATGGGGAGTCTTGTGGATCCAGTGGTGTACTCTTAAGTCTCAAATTGACAGCCAATTATGGATCCACAGGGCTTTCACCCACTGGCCTATGATCTTCCTGCAGTTGGCATCATTGCATGTGTTGTATAAGTCTGAAGAGGAATTTATAGAGTGGTATCAGAGAGGTGGGCTAATATTGGACTTATGGACTTGATCTGGACTGAGCTGGGGTGTTTTCTCAATATATAAATATTGCTCTTTTACATAAAGCTCTTTCTACTATACATGAGTGTCTCTGAATTTGTTTCTCTAGTCAACTCAGATTAACACACCATCAATCAAAAAGGGTGGTGGTTCAAACTCACAATGGCCCAGAAATTTGGACCGGCAAGTTGCTTCTGAAGTCACAGCCTTTAAACCCAAGAGCAGTTCTATTTTGCACACACGTGGGGGCCAGGAGTTGGGAATTGACTGAATGGCAACGACCAATGACAACATTTCCCTATTTGCTGTATGAAATTCCCCAAATGTTTCCTTGATTCAACTAAACCCACTTGGGCCAATAGTTTGTCCTTTCCCTCCACCTTATGTTCCAGCTGTGTACATGGGTAAAGTCGCTCCTTAAAAGAAAAGAAATACATACAGATACATGAAAAGTTAACTTAGTGCCTCTCTGAGCAAGGCCTAAAACGTATGTGATTATTAACTTTTCGTTTTAACATTAGGTCCCCAAAAAACACTGAAACTTACCTGCCATCATGTCCAACACTCAGCATTGCTGCCGTCATTACTTCAGTAGTGAGACTTTCAGCAAAACTAACACCATCTTGTCCAATTCCACTATCGGCTGCCAAACTGGCGTTGCTCAGTTCCCTCTCTGCTTTTTCAATGGCTTCAGCAACAATCTTCTCAGCAAGCACTGTCTTCTTATCAAGATTGACATGGATTTGGGGAACATCAAGGTGGAAAATTCTGGATTTCTGGTAGAGGCTGCTGAATTTCGAATTAGAAGCTGGCTTACTACTGGCAACTGGATCCTGTCTGAAAAAGTGCTGAGATGAGTTTCCCGTGCAATCGTGGAGCTCTTTCTGGTGACAGTGCCTGCAAGCCTGGCTGATAAGAGGTGACAACTTTTCAGCGTAAGTAATCCTATCTGCTGATTCTGTGGTCTCAGTGCCTGGGAAAACTGTAGACTCAAACGTGAGCTCTAACGTGTCATCCACAACTTTTTTAGCATACCGTTCGATAGCGTGAGCAACACTGTCTCCACAACCATGTTCACTTAAGCTGCCAAGACTGTGGTAGAATAGGTGATTCTGTGAGGAAGGCCGGAGAGGCTTAGGGAATCCTGGTTCAATGCGAGACTCGGGAGCGTCATCGCATCCAAATTTTTCATAAAGACAAGAGTCCATTAAGGATTTTGGCAAGCCAACTGTAGACAGCGTCAGCTCTTTCTGAACGTCTCTTGCTATGCTATGAGCGAGGGAGGATGAAAAACTATACAGTTCAGAGTTCTCATTTCTGTACGTATCCTGTGTCCGTTCACCACTCAAATTTTTACAATAGTAGCCTCCCTTCTTTTTACTTGGCCTTTTTCTAGCTACTTCTTGGTGGTGGTCTGTATTTAAGAGCATCAACAGCTCGCTCGTGGTCTTCTCCAGTGAGCCTGGAGCAGGGAACAGTTTGGGGATGCTCTTCGTTTGGACGGTCCTAACTGCTTCTCGTACGCCTGCTTTCACAGACCTATATGCAAGTCGGTTGGCATACTGATCCAGGATTAGCTCACTATTCCCATCTTCTTGTTTCAGGATTTGGATAATGTGGCCCGCATATTCGTCTGTCACACTTTCACAGCTGGGGTACTTATATGTCAGGCCTGACAGGCCAGCAGAGAGCGGTAAGGAGACAATCAATGAATCCACTTCTTGTGGCTGAGCAACAGCCTCTATATCCAGCTTCTCTTGTGACCTGCCATGCTGGTCACCTCTGTTGCAACTGAAACCGTCAGCATAGCAGCTGTTCTGCCTGGAAGACACACAACTTTTGAGTTTCGCTGTTTTCTCGGCTTCTGTGATCACCTCTGCCGCCATGCTATCGGCAAAACTCCACAAAGCTTGTAAATTTTCATCTGAGCGATTCAAAAAGGCAGGAGATACACTTGTCTGACATCGCAGATGTGCTAAGTCAGGGCTTTTACCCTTGGGTTCTTCAATTACTTGATGATCTAAATGAGAAGCTGCTGTTTCCGTTGCAAGAGAAATGATGTGTGTGGCTAACGTGTGCGCAAACTGTATCTTCTTCCCCGCGTGCTCTGGCTTCGCATCCACTTCTGGGTGCTCTTCCCCTTCACTGCTTTCGACTTCTTCTGAAAGAGACCTCATGAGCTTCAGCATGAACTCTTCTTTTTCTATAGTGTTCTGTCCATTCGCAGCGAAGCTACCAACGGTTGGGTTTCGAGGTGTGGACGGTGGAGTAGCAGGTGCAAATTCCTTTGCTAATTCTCCCTTGAGCTTTTTCGTTAACTTCTTGATATCCCACTCACAACTAGCTTGGGATGGCACTAGAGGAGTTGGTGGGGGGGTTTCAGGTAAGGCATTCCTGTCTCTGACTTTCTGCTTATCTTCCACGTGCAACCCATCGGCACAAGCAAGCACTGGAGATGTGAAAGGATGGGAGTGAGGGGAAGGACGTTCTTGCCCCAAACACATGGGTTCAAGTGCAGGATCATGTGAACTATGCTTCTGTGTTGGTTTCTCCTTGGCCAGCTCCTTCGAGTCCAACTTTGGAACGGCCACAGCTGGACACCGTGCTGTTGTCTCGAGAGGAAATTCTTGAGCCGTGGTGTCTTGACAAGGTGGAGCACAACTCTTTCCAGCTGAAAGCACACGATGATCCAGAGGGCCAAGAAATTTGGGGAACTTTGACAAGATCAACCGTGACTCTTCTCCTGGAACAAGCCAGCCTTCCTTGCTCACCCCATTCTTCTCTGTATTTACAATCACTGGCTTGCCATTGTCTATGGAATGTTTAATAATAGATTGAGATAATCTGTCAGCAAACTCGTCCTTCGTGCTAGCACTGCCCTGCTGCCATGCTGTTCGGTCAGAGTGGACAGGCAGGCCTTGCCCCTCGGTTGTTCTCAGGATGTCCTCTGAAACTCGGAGCGATGCCACAGACTCCAAAGTTTCATTTACTACCGTATGCACCATTGCTGCAGAAAAGCTGCTAATGATGGCGGGATCACTGGCTACTTTTGCCGCATTCTGCACTTCAATACCATCCTGAGTTGGTTTAACATCGTTCTGGTTACTAGGATGGTGTTCTGAATCTGCAGGCAAACAAATACTTCGGAGACAAGCTACTTCCCCTTTGCTGCTTCCTGAAGTCGCACGTGCCTGGGCAGAATCACCATTTGAATTACTTTCATCGGCTGGCAGAGGAGTCTTTTCCAGATAGCCCTTAGAGGAAATATGATACGGGAGAAGGCAACTTCCTGCCAAGGGCATTGGTACGGAAGTCACGATTCCAGAAGTGCAAAACAAGGCCTGCTGGACGGTGTATTCTTTCCTATATTCCTGTGCTGGCTGTGTCACCACGACTGCTGGACCGTTACAAGTCAGGGCAGCGGTGGAGGGCTGTCTGGACGGTGCTGGGCTTGCTTCACTCACATCCTTTGTGTGACCAGGAGAAAAACCAACTGTTGCTTTGGTGGGGAGAGTCAGGTCCACCTGGGAGAGCTCAATGAATGCTTCCTGTATGACGGACTCAGATAACTCTCTCGCATAGGACTTGACAACCTTGTCTTCGTAGTCAAAGGACTTGCACTGGGGAAAGGCAAGAGTGGGAGGATAGGAAAACTGGCACACTTCCATGACGCCTTCGAAAACCAGCTCTTCTGCAAGATCTGCAGCAAAACTGGCAACTTTGTTTGTGAAGATCTGCTTCTTGATATACTGCAAATCTTTTAAAGCGCTGCAGAAAGCTTCACTCACCAAAAAATTCGCCAAGCCTCCAATGGCACGTTCCTTCAGGGAAAACGCACGCTGGCGCCTCAGTTCATCAAATGCCACCTGGAAAACAGACGCTGTCAATTTGATGGCCAAGTGGCACAAGGCATTGGTGCAGGAAGTGACTCCTTTCTGTAAGTCTTTGAATGCACTGCCAAAGCTCTTTTCCACAAGATCTGCTGCAAATTTCTGAATGCTATCCTTCATCAGCAAGGACTTGTTCTTAGATTTGCCGTTCTGATCACGGTTCCCAGGCCTAAGAGTTTCTGTTTCCTTTGCCCCCCTTTCCATGCCATCATCAGGGTCGGTTGGTGCATTGGCCTGTTGGGTACAAAGAACCGAATCGAGTACTCTGCACGAAACGCTGCTCGCATAATCCTCGTACGTGTAATACACAGACCCGTGATGCTCAGGGGCCCGAGCTCCCCCAGCATGGGTTTGGCAAAGGCAGTCCGTGGGAGCACAGCCTCCTAGCGGGCTAAAGGCAGAGGACCGAATGGGACTAAACAAGCCACTGTCTTCCCCGGAGGCCGGCACTGGCCGAGGGGAGTCGGGAGCCTCACCAGGGTTACTGTACGGGGAGTCTGGTTTCCGGGGAGTAGGTTTTCTAACATTGGCTGGGAGAGCTGGGCGGTCAAACTTGAACTTTTGAGGGTTCATCGTAGTGGTTACAGATTTCTCATGTCGGTGTCCTTTCTTTTTCGGCGGCTTCCCTTTGGCAGGAGCTTTCGTAAATAGATCAGAAGTGTCCAAAGTTTGTTCTAGCTCATCAAACTGGTCGAAACTATCAAAAAACTCACTTACTTCTGAGTCTGAATCCTCTATATCATCTTTCGTCACGGGAATTTTCGGCAGCTCAAGTTTTGCTTTCAAACTTTTCTGATATCCTTCTTCATCCAAGAAAATAACAGGACTTGGACTCGAGCATTCTGACTCGGAAGAGTAGGCAGGAGAAGACGAAAAAAAGCTTTTCTGTGTTTCGCTACCTTTGTCAGAAGCATTAGTTGACCTGTAGAAACTCCTTTGGATCCAAGGCTCAGAAACCGATGTTGTGACTGAAGCTTTCACCGAGGGAACCTCTGCATGTCCCAGCATGTTGACTAGGGAAGTGGAGGGTTTCCGCTGCCCAGAGCTAGCAAGACTCCGTAAGCCCTGCATGTCCAACTGGTGTCCAGAAACAGTCTGTGAAGCTGCATCACACTGGCTCCTCAGGACAGAAAGGCTTATTCCTGTAGTATAAAGGGTAAAATAATCCAGTTATATTCCAACAGAATTGTTGTGAATAATTACCGTAAATCATCATGTGAATTTTTAAAGCATGAGCTATTGCTTTATAACTTAAGGGTCTTCTCAACTCTACACTGTTTAATACCTTCATCCCATGTCACATTTGGAAGCAAATACAAAATATACCTGTTACCAAAATAATAGTATTTCCCTCTGTGCCTGGGGATTTACGGTGTGTTGGCACGCTCAGCGTGTTGTCCGTGTACCAGAAACAATAACATAGAGACTCTCTCACAGAGTTAATTCTTCTGGAAAGTGACACAGGCAATTAAGATAATGAGGTAAACAAGATTTCGGCCAAAGAACAGAAAGAGCAAAACAAAAAAGCAGACAACAATCAACTTTAAAATTACTTCCCCCTCAAGAAAAATTAAATTCCACAGGCAATCAGCAGCAAAGGTTAAGTATGTCTAAACTGGGTCAAATTTCAAAATGAATTTCACGAGCAAGTCTGCCTTGAAACATTCCAAAGTGAACTTCACTGAGCTTGCATCCCCCATCGCAAGAAAAGGTCTGGCAGAGAACAAACCATCATGATTTGGGTGTGAAGCCTCATCTTCCTCTAAGTGTTCACAAGCAGTGACGAAGTCGTCCTCTATGGACGACACCGACTGGTTAGTATCGTCATCGTCTTCATCCGTGGACTCCAGTGGGCCCCTCAGGTGCAAGTATGTTTCCAGGGTGTATCGGATGCCGGTCGCATATTTACTTAGCAGGCTGAATATAAAATCAAGTCGGAGTCTTGGTAACGTGGGTGGCACTTTCATGACACAAAGCATTCCAGAAGGATGGCTCTTGGGGAAGATGAGAGATGGTAGAAAAGGATTTCAATTTCAAACGTGAAACATTACCAAGAAGTAACGCCCCCAAACACAAGTCTTAGAAAAACACAATGTCGGCCAAAAAGGCTCCTGGGGTTTTGTAACACATGATTAGTTTCTTCTCTCACCAATCTATCTCATTTCCCAAACTTTTTTCTCCTCTCTGAGCCACGTTTTAAAATTCCACTTATCCTACCTAAAACGCCATGACACTTACATTCTATCCTGCTCCTTTAGCAAGGGTGTGTTCTGTATTGTTACTGTACAGCCCAGTGATTTTTCTTATTTAAACATTTACTTGTCTCACCCACTCAACTGTACACTGCCTCAGGTCAGGAGCCAGGCTGTCTTTGGCTTTCGGCCTAATGCACCCTCCCTTCTACTGCAATACAGGAACTGCCCCTCTCAGCTAAATTTCCTACTACCACAATTTCCAATGTCTACCACTTTGATTAAGAACACAAGTAACCAGGTGTTCTTCCCTAAACATAGTGTCTTCAAAATGCAAACGTTGACAAAGTAATTTTTTTGGACTAGAAACGATATACAGTAACTAATCATATCTAAATTCTAACAAGGAAAGGAGAACAAACATGAAGACCATCATTTGGGCGGGGAATATATGAAAGACATCAGGCCGGCGGCTGTCAGAATGAGTAGGATCAGCTAATATGCCTGAATAGAGGATACTAATTCTGAACCTGAGGGCTTATTTGCAAATGTTTTACCTCCTAAAATGCAAAGATTTTTTTTTTTCTTTCATGTGTTACCAGCAACAGCATAATGAGTAAACAAGTCACTCACTCACTGCCATCAAGTAGATTCAACAGTTGGTGGCCCTACAGGACAGGACAGAACTGCCTCTGGGGGTTGATCAGACTATTTAGGGGAGTAGAAAGCCACCTCTTTCTCCCACGAGTAAACAAGTATAAGCTGAGCATTGCAAAATAACTGCCTGAAATAATGAAATAGCAGATGTTAACATTACACAGGGTTTTCCTTAATCAGATAATTAGTTATGGGGAAGCTTCAAAAAATTGTAGAAGAATAGAATTAAAAGATAATGAAATTTTTCGAAAAACACTGATACCCCAATTTTTTAAAATCATTTTATTGGGGGCTCGTACAACTCTTATCACAATCTAAACACCCATCTGTTGTGTCAAGCACATTTGTCCATTTCTTGCCATCATCATTCTCAATACATTTTCTTCCTACTTGAGCCCTAGGCATCAGCTCATTTTTCCCCTCCCTCCCCATGCTCCCCTCCCTCATTAACCCTTGATAATTTATAAATTATTATTGTCATGTCTTACACTGTCCAACGTCTGTTGCCCGGTCCCCAGGGAGAGGGTTATATGTAGATCCTTGTAATTGGTTCCCCCTTTCTACCCCACCTTCCCGGTATCGACACTCTCACCACTGGTCCTGAAGGAATCATCTGTCCCGGATTCCCTGTTTCCTGTTCCTATCTGTACTGGTGTATATCCTCTGGTCTAGCCAGATTTGTAAGGTAGAATTGGGGTCATGATAGTGGGGGGATGGGGGGGAGCATTTAAGAACTAGAGGAAAGTTGTATGTTTCATCACTGCTACACTGCACCCTGACTGGCTCATCTCCTTCCCATGATCCTTCTGTAAGGGGATGTCCAGTTGCCTACAGATGGGTTTTGGGTCCCCACTTCGCACCCTCCCTCATTCACAATGATATGACTTTTTGTTCTTTGACACCTGATACCTGCTCCCAACACCTCGTGATCACACAGGTTGATGTGCTTCTTCCATGTGGGCTTTGTTGCTTCTCAGCTAGATGGCTGCTAGTTTATCTTCAAGCCTTTAAAACCCCAAAAGCTTTCTCTTTTGATAGCCGGGCACCATCAGCTTTTATCACATTTGCTTATGTCTTCAGCGATCGTGTCGGGAAGGTTAGCATCATGGAATGCCAGTTTACTAGAACAAAGTGTTCTTGCATTGAGAGAGTACTTGAGTGGAGGACCAAAGACCCCTCCTATTTTTATGAAAGTGAGACTGCCCACAAAAAAAGGGAAAAGCTCCGTAGCTTAAACTAAGACAGAACTTCAGGAAATTAAGATATAACAAATTGAGAGTGGGAAAGAGGGGGAAGGGGGGAATAGTAATCATACATATTTACATCCTGTTTATGGAACTTCATACGCAGAAAGTTTTATTTACAAGCATACCAAAACTATTCTGGCCTTCAATTAATTTCAATGTTTTGTGAGCTTGATTTTTTATGAACATAAGAAAGGAATATTTAAAAAAAGAAACTTCATTCAACTATTTAAAAGTTTGATACTCTAAAGTCTAAACCATTATAAAATTTTCCCTGAAAAACTCATTATAAATGATCTTGAAAAGCTACCTGATTTAGAGGACCATTGTTCATTTCTGGTGATTTTTTAATATCCTTCATACAAATAATTTCATTTTCATTTAGACTGCAGAAGTGGAGAGAATTCAGAAGATCTGGAAGTTCCAAAGATACTGCGGCTAAATCCTAATTTAAAATAACAACACAATAAATAACTCTTCAGGCTCTTATAACATAGACCATATTCATATGTCCTAAGTCAACTGGTTACTACACTTTCTGAGTCATGTTTAAGATAAGCAATGTACCATCTTCAGATAATCCATTCTTAAAGAACATTAAACACAGCTAAATTAATATTCTTATAGCTCTTTCAACATATAACTATTAAGCAATTTAAAGCATTCTACATGGTGCATCTCACACATCATTAGGCATTTAAATAAACATATTTAGGAAATGGTAACCTACAATTCTCAGGTTAAATGTTGGAATTTTTCATACAAGATTCTTGGTGATAGATTTCTTCAGAGTTTAGGTTTTAAGTTTGCCAAATACAAGCCTGTTTTTCTACCTCTCCGCTCAAAGTATTGTATTATATCAGACTTTAAATAAAAACTTGATGAAGATGGAAAAGAAAAAGAAGTCATTTTTTAAGAACTGTCCTTGTTTGTCCTTCCTATGTAAATAATTTATTAGACGGTTGAGGAATTTTAAAAATCCTGATCCCTTCTAGAGTACGTTCCTTCATATATTACCAGGAACTGACCGGCGACACTTCAATAGGAAGTAGAGTATTAGGGAACTACTTTGGAATGCATCTCTTCCAATGTTATGTTCTTAGGAGTACATTCCTTTTGTCCAAACTTCAAGAAAGTACAAAGACACATGACAGTTTCATTAATAACCACCAATTAAATTACTCACAAAGAACTGAACTGTGTCCTTCCTTTCTCTACTAGAAGAGTCTACACTATCACATGCACATGGAAAGAACCCCTCTTTATGTAACTCAGCTCTCCTTCCCTGATCAGAACCTCAAATGTCAATTCTTTGTAAAACACCTGCCTCATCAAGCAATTTAAAAGTTTCACACTATCATTACTTTTTAGAAAGTTTATCTTTTAAATGCAACTCTATCTCAATTAAAAACAGAAGGATTTCTTCCTGAGGAAGCCAGATTATTGATACGATCTAAATAAAAAGCCAAGTCTTACATTCTCCAGAATCACAGAGAAATAGTTAGCCTGTGGTTGGCTTTTGTGGTCTTCTAACATGTATACCTTCTGCCTTATGTTACAAGAACCTTCAAATCAAACACACACACACACACACACACACACACACAAAGTGAGCCAGAGCACACTCAAAAGTTGAACTCAAATGTCAACTTTTAACTATCACAGGAAAATACCAGAAGAGATGAGGGTCAATTTTAAACTACTAAGGCAAAGCTTCCAGTCTCATACTGGTTCCAAGTTACCTCTCACAACTCTTTCCAGGTCAATACAGTGATCTTACCTGCAAATGAGCAGTATCTGTTTCTTCATGAAAATCCAGAAATGTGACCTGAATAAGACAAGAATAAAACTCCATTAATAAAAAAAAATAATTTAAAAAAAAACTCCATTAATGAGTGTGTACAAGTTTTGCTTCAGATTTCTGATGGATCTGAGAAACAGAAAAATTGCACATAAGGTATAAAAATTCTGACTGTCTTGGGGAGATGATTTCTGTTTTCAAAGATGATCTACAAGAGCTTTTCATTGCAGGCTTGGCTCCGTGCTGTAGTTCCTGAAACACCCTCACATCTACCACACGAACAGGTTCGATCAATTCTAACCCCCACACATATTTCTAAGAACACGACGATCCCGGCCTCCCCACTGCCACCACTTCTCACCTACCCTGTTCCAGTCTTCTCCCACCTGACCCTCAATAACTCCTGTCACTTCTCTGCCAGTGCAAAGTCCTCGCTGCTGAGGAAAGCGTTTGGGTTAGGTGGGCCCTCGTGTACTTTGGTCATGCTGTCCGGAGACCCGTCCCTGGAAGAGGACATCATGCTTGTAAAGTAGAAGGGAAGTGAAAAAGAGGAAGGGCCTGGGTAAGATGGATGGACACAGTGGCTGCAGCAATGGGCGCATGCATGTGAACAATGATGAGGAAGGCACAGGTCGGTCCAGGTGGTGTCTCACTGTCGTACACAGGGTGGCCAAGTTAGAACCGACCCCAGGGCCTTCGCACCTTTCCTCACTGTCTGCGACACATGGGCCTCCTTATTGGGTCTGCACATGTCTGGTCCTTTCTTGCCTCAGGCCTTGGCAATACCCCGGGCACTCTGCCTCAAATCTTCATGTGGATTGAATTATGTCCCCACTCCACCCTTCCCCTGCTGCCAAAAAAAGCAAAACCATGTCTGTATGTGTGTGTGCACACGCACAGGCACGCGGGCGTGCATAACTTGCCTGGGTCTTGATTCTTAGTAGTATTGTAACTGTCTTCCATTTTCTGATCTAACATAATTATCCTGTGTGATGTTAATGAAATGGGATGTAGTCTAGAGGATTTTTTTTTTAAATAAAAAAAAGGATTAAGCAAGTAAGCAGGGATCAGAGGGGACTCCTACCACAAAGAAAGGGAACAAATGTTCCCTCTGGCTCTGGGATCCCCGCACTAAGAACCTCAGAGAACCAATGTGTTGAAGCCGGAGAGCCGCCACATGTGCAGTCTCCCTGGAGCAGCAGGAGAACCTGGTGCCGAGGGGGATGAAGGGGGCTGCTAATGACACAGTCAGCAGCGCAGAACCACCAGCTGCTCCCGGCCGGCGGAGAAGACCAGGCTTTCGGCTTCTGTCGAGACCGCCAGCCCAGAAACCGCAGGGGCAGCTCTACCCTGCCCTTAGGGTCAATGTGGTTGGAAGTGGCTCGAATACACTGACTGATGGAGTTAAGGTGGCCTTCGTCTCCCCCCCACCCCTGGTTCTTTGGCTCTGTAATCTTAACTCATAGGACTAGTGATAGTAACTTTCTCCTTTCCACTTTCAGTGCTTTTTTCCATAAGGAATACATGCTATTATACTCTAGAAAAATAAACGTGGCTTTATAAATTAAAATCTCCATTATCATAGAAGAAGTGTCCGCTATTTGAGGATGGAGCAGTAACCTGTTTACCAAGCAAGTGCTGTGGCGGAAAACACAACACTGAGAATGAAAAGCAGCACTGACTGGAGTCTGATGATTCGGAAGCAAGTCGAAAGTTTAAATTACACTAGGGTCTTTATTCCAATCAAGTACTGGTATTATTATTTCATAGAAATGTTACAGTAAACCAACGGGGATAGTTTAATTTCCAAATATCCATATAAACCTCTCTTCTCTTGTTTAAGATTTTAGGCACAGAACTTCCCTCCTACAGATGTCAGGGGGGAAAGTGCCTAGCACAATCTAAAGAAACCCAAACTCATTCCCACTGAGTCAATTCAGACTCACAGGACAAGCCTTTGTGGCTTTTAGAGGCTGTAAATCTTTACAGGAGCTGAAAGCCTCATCTTTCTCTCACAGACAGGTTGGTGAGTTTGAACCGCTGACCTTGCAGAAGATAGCAGGCCAACGTGTGAAACCCACTACACCACCAGGCTCCTAATAGGCACTCACTGTTCTGAGATCCTTCCTCCTTTCAAGAGATACTGAGATACGCACACCCGCAACCAGACGTGAGCTCCTTTAGTTATTTCAAGTTTCTTCTACTGAATGCAAAAGAGAAACTACGCTGATATATTTCCCATTTATCAAGGAAGGCCTGGGCCAGGAATGTGGACTCTGAAAAGCACTACGTAAGAACTTTGAAGAGAACTATGAAGAGAAATTTGAGGGCAGAGGGGCACCGGAGAGTGGTCACAGGTGAGAAAAACTGAGTCGACTGAAGAGTGGCTGTGCATGAGACTGCCAGATGGGGGCGATCCCCAACCTTTAGGCTAGCAGCTGATCACTAACTGCCCGTAACTAACTTCGGTAACTAACTTCCAGCTCCTCAGTTCATGCTGGAGTAGGAACAATAGCTTTCAACTGGGTGCTTAGATGCATGCGTGTTTGGGGGAGAGCAAGTACAAATCCATTTAGAAGATGGGTTTTTTTGTCTTGATAATTTGACAAAAGAAGCAAAAAAACCAAAGTCACTCATGCATCCTGATATGAGAGTCAAATAGCAATGAATGTAATTTCTAAAAGTCACCTCAGCCAGTTAACTGAAAAATCTGGCCTTAAAAATACATTAGTTTCACATGGAATCCAGGACAGATGACCCCTTCAGGACCAGTGATGAGAGTGGTGAGGTCTGGAGGGTGGAGGGAATGTGGGGTGGAAAGGGGGAACCGATTACAAGAATCTATGTATAGCCTCCTCCCTGGGGGATGGACAGCAGAGAAGTGTGCGTGGGAAGACATCGGACAGCGTGACATATGACAAAATAATAATAATTTACGAATTATAAAGGGTTCATGAGGGAGGGGGGAGGGAGGGGGGAAAATGAAGAGCCGATATGAAGGGCTCAAGCAGAAGGCAAATGTTTTGAGAATGATGATGGCAACAAATGTACACATGTGCTTGACACAATGGATGTAAGTATGGATTGTGATAAGAACTGTACGAGCCCCCAATAAAATGACTTAAAAAAAATACATTGGTTTCTAAAATTGTTCCCCTCTCAATGACTTTGTATGGCCATCTAACCTGGTTACATTAGTGTGACCAGCAACTCACCCATGAGGCCGAACCTCAGAGAGAAAAGCACATAGTAACCAGAACGCCAGCGCTGAGAGCTTCCTGCTGAAGAGCGCTGGAGAGAGGGGTGGGCACCCACGTAGATCCCCATCTGTGTGGGGCTGGAAGGACAGAACTGGCAGCGGGAGGTGCAAATGTGCAGTAAGCAGCTCCGCAGCACCACAGGCTAAGCACTGAGCAGCCAAGCACAAGGGGAAGGTTCAAACATGCCGCCTGCTCGGAGGGCCAACGAGGAGGCGATCTGCTCCCATAAAGGTGTACAGCCTCGAAAACCCTGGGGAGCAGCGCTACCCTGCCCTACAGGGGGCTATGAGGAGGCGATCTGCTCCCATAAAGGTGTACAGCCTCGAAAACCCTGGGGAGCAGCGCTACCCTGCCCTACAGGGGGCTATGAGTCAGAACTGACGGAGACACAGTGGGTTTCCCAAATCATTTTTTTAAAGAAAGGTTTCTTTGAAACCTTTGTTGTTGAAATACAACAACACAGTGAAAAGGCTAACCAAGGAGATCACCATAAAGGCGCAGAGACGTGATCTGACACAGAGGACGACTCGGGTCGGCGAGCACTGCAGCCACTGGGTCAGATTTGGTTTCAAGGAAAAGGAAGAAAGTCAGACTCAGAATAATCAAGATTTCCTGAGGAAAACCCTCATTTCAAACAAAAAAGCTGACATGGTGCATCAGCTCGGAGCTATAGCAACCTGACACCTTCTCGCTCTATTGTGTAACATAAATAGGGGAACAGACTACGGCTATATTATAGGAAAAGGTCCAACTCCCATTTATAAAGGTAAGGAAACATTGGATATAGTAGAAAAATAGATGACCAAAACTCAAAGTCTGAAATAATAAATTATCTTAATTTCAAAGATACAGTTATCACTCTTTTCTAAATCAAACCACTGACTTTAAACAGTCGAGAAACCTACCAATAGCCAAAAAATAAGTATACGAACAAGCATCAATTTTATGTTTTGGAGTAGAAACACTTGTGATGAGAATATTATTGAAGGAAGTACGGATATTGTAATATGTTCAATGGCAATACAACGAATGCAGGAAGGCTGGTGGCACTGTGAGGTAGGCATTAGACTGCTCACCGCAAGGCCAGCAGTTCAAACCCACCAGTCACTCTTCAGAAGACATATAAGGCTATCTGCTCCCATAAGGATTTACAATCTCAGAAATCCAGTACGGGGTCACTCTGAGTCATAAGGAACTCAATGGCTGCAGACTACCCGCGTTGTGCATTGAATTGGGTGTTTTTATTATAATAAATTAAGACAACTATATTACGAGGTACCTCTAACCCATAAATTCAAATACAAGGATTTTAAGATTTTTAAAAATAAATCATCCTGTCCTTCAAAGTGGCACCAAAACACCCTGTGTTAGCAAGAAGGGGTTTAGAACGTAACCATGTCAGACCTCAGTCACCCTGGTATGCTCATCCTGCTTCCAGCAGCTCTCTGCAGACACACTGCATAATTCCTTCTCACTCTGCAGGAGCGCCTTTACCGACTGGAACACGCCTTCACTGAAGTTCTGAAAGAGAAGACATCCTTGATGAATTTCATTTCAAAGCAACTTAACAGGTCCTGGAGACATTTTAGTGTTAGATACTGTCATTAACGAGCCAGTGAATGTTCATTTGGTGCCTTGTAATATTGTATGCAGAAGTTCAATCTGTTGAGAACAACAACAAGCTCTATATACAGGTGGCATGAGTGTAGGGACTCAACTCATTGCCACACCGGGGACCCCTATTCTGACCTACACTGAAGTCCCAATGGCAGGGTACAGAATGGCCAAACCATTGGGGAAACAAAAGCAACAGGTTAGACAAAGGCTGCAAGCATCTGAAAGCTCTAGGGGCGCAGGCTAACCACACCAATTTCACTCCCGTGACAAAGTGGGACATGGAAAAAGAGAGACAATACTACCCAAAGCTCCGGTTTGTCAGAGATCGTGAGGCTGCTCACCACAGGGTCAGCAATTTGAAACCACCAGTCACTCCGTGAGAAGAAGAGGGGCCGTCTCCTCTGTGAACGGTTAGTCGCGGAAACGCTAAGGCAGTTCTACCCTGCCTACAGGGTCCCTACGAGTGAGTCGCACTGAGTGCAGTGAGTTTGGTTTGGGTTGTTGGATGAAAATGAGCAAAGGTGCTTCAGACCGGAGGGAGGAGAAAAGCATGTGGAAAGGAACAGAGGGAGAAGTGACACAAAGAAAGTGGCATCACCCCCAAACCAAAACCCACTGCTGGGGGCCCATTCACATCCCAGATGGACATAGAGAGCACATGAACTTTCTTCCACCTTACTCCACTTCCATGAGCTGTTGAGCTGCTTTTCCATCTGTCCCTGTGGAAGCCCCACGCACCCCAAGACCTGTGCAGATGTCCCCATTCCTTGGTCACTGTAATTCTCAAAGTTCCTACCATACTTACTATATTTGCACATGAAGCTCACTTAACCCATACTGCAACAGAGTACTAGCGCTGTGCTCCCATCGACTTATCTTTGCCATACATTAGCCAAATGGCTAAAGCCAGACTTTATATCATTGTTTTAGCTCTCCAGATTCCAGCACCTGACACACTGCAAGGGCACAAATGTTTGCCCTTTTAATAAACTAAATATTCATTAATGTGGAAGATGATGTTGTTGTTAGATGTCACCAAGTTGGCTGACTCATAGTGACCGTATGAACCATAGAATGAGAAACTGGCCAGTCCTGTGCCAGCCTCCTACGAGATATAAATATGAAATTCAAAGTGGGGGGAAAGAAGAGGTAATACTTGTGAATTTGATTCTTATGACAGGTCTTAGAAGCAACATCCTCAGGAGTAATAAGCATTCCTTGTAGCCTGGGATTTGGTTTGTAAGTACCATGCCCAAACAAAAGGAACTCAAACTACTTATTTTTTTAAAAAGCCTCATTCTGGGACTGAGACCAAGAAAGTATGAAGTAAGCCTGGAGCATCAAACTGTGATGCAAGGAAGTACTCAAAGACTAACTGGGTCCTTTCAAAAGAGCCCTGGAGTCCACTTACAGGGGTATCTGCTGGCCAAATTTGGGACAATGTGGGCAACAGAAAGAATAAAAAAGCTAATGGATCATTTTTTAAAACTCATTGACAGCAACTCTTCAGTACCGAGTGGAACAACTCTTTCAGGTGTTGGAGCCCATAAATCTTCATGGGGGCAGTCTCATCCTTCTCCTTTGAAGCAGCTTGTGAGTTTGAACCACCAGCCTTGTGATTAGCTACCCAACACTTAGCCCAGTATGGTACCAGGGCTCCTTTCATGAATCCCAGCTACTATATAACATCCATCTAAAGCCATTAAAAAGAAGCAAAGGGGCAACTCTCCTTTACCTGAGAATGCCAGGTGGCAGATAGTCTGGGATGACAATGAAAAAATAATTCCCAATGTCATCACTGATTTTGGAAAGGATCAAAATATCCTAAAATCACTGGGCAAAAAGCTAATGGAGAGCTGGTGAAGAGTATCAAAGTGGCATTCAGATTATTATTAATTGAATTAATTCCAAGAAGATGTGTCTTTATACTGGAGATATCGGATAGGTCCAACCTTAACATGGCAGCACCTGAATGTGTCTCTTGGGCTGACAAACTGCAATAAACACAGCTGTTTTGAGTACCTCCTACACAACTTAACTGCGAGGGAGATAGATAAACCCAGGACCTGGGGGGATTCTACAGCAGGGCTGGCCTGGACTCCCCCAGAGCCTCACCGTTGAGAAAAGAAGTGGGTGGTGGGGAAGGTCAAGCCTGGGGAGATCAAAAAGATAAAAACCATCAAATGCAATGTGTATCCCTGGTTTGAACCATATGTGGGGGCAAGGAAAAACAAGGGCACTTGATAAGAGTTGAGGGTTGTACTGGCATGGTTGTACTGGACTAATGGAACTAAGGGAGTGCAGTTCAGTGCTCAGTTGCTAACCAATGGGTTGGTGGCTGAGTCCACGCAGAAGCAAGGCCTGGTGATCGACTCGTGAAAGATCAGCCACCAATAGCACTGTGGAGCACAGCCCGGTTCCAACACACCGGGGAACACCAGGAGTCAGAACCATCGTGACAGCAGTGGATGGGGCTGTCGTTGCTAAGAGAAACCTACTGTCACAGTCAGGAGCAGACGGCAATGCTGTCTGCAGCCGGCTCTCCGAGGGCTTGCCCAGGAGAGATGGGGTGGGTATGGCAAGTTGCTGACTGAGAAGAGTTTATGGGGTGTTCAATGTACTGTTTTTGTTTTCCTAGCTTCCCGTGGGCTCAAAAATACTCAAATCTTTATTCTAATCATTCCATTAATAAGTGAAGGTTTTCAGTCTAAGACTAAACATGAAATAAAAGAAGTACATGAACGTGAACTGTGAAATGGGAACTTCCAACAATCGGTATGAATTTGTGATACTGTTGGAGCAAAAAGGTGTCCTCCTCCTACTCAGAGCTTGGTTCCTTTGGAGAAATAGCAACTGCAAGCCTGCAGAAGAGAACGGAAAAGGTGAAGCTGGGTCTTGCTCTTGTACCTGAAGGCGAGGAAGCACTCAGTACATTAATGACCTTGAGACCAAAGGACCGAGAAAAACTTTGAGGAACTCCCAGATACCAAGTTTGGGTCAATTTGGGTAAGTTAAAAGGAATGAAAAAGAGGGGAATAATTGAAGGATGGTAAGCAAGAGACTATAACATACAGAGGCAAAAATAAATAAAAGATGCAAAAACCCCTATGAGCCCAGCACAACACTCAAAAATAAATTAATCAGTAAGTGAATGAAGGCCAGGAGGGAAGAAACAAACTCATTTGCCAAGTTATTAATCTGAAAATTCTTCATTACAGTGCATTTAACCCTACTTTTAGGTATTGGGCTGCTAACTGCAAGATCAGTAACTCAACCAACCAATTGCTCCAAGAGAAAAAAATGAGGCTCTCGGCTCCCACAAAGACTGACAGTCTCAGAAACCCTATAGAAGGCTGCTGTGAGGCCAAACTGACTGGGCATCAGTGGAGGTTTCTGTTGTTTTGTATTGTTTTGGAATCCTGCTTTTAAGGAGCCCTGGTGTCGCAGTGGTGAAGTGTTCGGCTGCTAATTGAAAGGTAGGCTGTGCACGTCCACCAGACACTGTGTGAGGAGCAGCTGGCATAAAGATGCACAGCCTTGGAAACCCTACGGGCAGCTCTACTGCCCCATCGGGCTCACTAGAAGGACAGCAGCCGCTTTGGTCTGGCATCCTCCTTTCATCGGAGATACCGTAGCTGACCATCTCAGTGAAGGAAAAGGGCTTTTGAAGAATTCAGTTAATAAATACAAGTGGACTAACAGAATTAGGAAAAGCATCTTATAACTCCCATGAGACAATAAATTCAAGCAAGGATGGTCATTAAAGGGTGTCAAAAAAGTCAAAGGTTACTTGGAAAAGAAGCTATTTGCGCAGGGTCAAATTACCATCCTCCAGGCTCCTGACTAAAAAGCCGCTTTGATGGAATGAGGGCCAGGCAGGGTTGCCAACCTTCTTCAATTGATCGATTTAGACTCACTCATAATAGGAAACTGACATTTGACCCTCATATCTCTCTACAAAGTACTCTTGCCCAAAATGTTTTGCTGAATTCAATTAAGCCGTTATAACTAACTTCCAGCTTACGTGGACTAGACACCAGAGGACTACGTTCATTTGCATGACAAGAAACCATCAGAAAAATCCAGAATGTTGAGCATTGTACAAGAAAATGGGGCCTGAACAAATGTACAAATGTGACTGACACAATGGATGAATGGATGGACTGTGAGTACAGTTGTACGAGCCCCCAAGAAAATGATTTTTTAAAATAACATTATTCCAAATAACCAACATAGAAAAAAAGAAAAGAACAAAAAGGGGGCCTGGTTAACACAGCCTTCAGTTACAAAAAGAAAAGGACAGGAGACTGTTTCAGACCAAAAGAAATGTGACATCAGAGCAACCACAAGCACTGAGGAGCCCAGATCTGCTATAAAAGACATCTGAGAAAGAGTAAAGAGTGCTTGCGTATGACTGGGAATTGCTATGAGGACATTACAGCGCCTTTCTTCAACACAAGGATGTACTGGCATGTGCCAGGATGCTGTTATCTGGGAGAAACATGCGGCAGTTCGGAGGTGATGAGACATCATGACTATAACTTTCCAGAGGTTCTGCCACAAAGTGCACACACACAGAGCAAACGAGACAAAATGTCAGCATTGCTGGATGCTGGTTGATAGGCAGTTTATGGGAATGCACTAGGCTTGAGTTTTCCCATGTACTTGAGCATTTTCACAACATATTATTAACAACGACAAAAATTACTGGAGTAGAACATATAGATACTTCTGATTTTCCGTATTTTAATTCCCTCATCTCTTTCTCATGCAAAGGTGAATGCTCAAAACTCCAAAATCAAACTCCTGACCATCGAGCCCAAGCCAACTCCTAGCAATCCTCTGGGCAGGGTAGAACTAACTGCCCTGCCCATTTCCTGAGACCAACATTATGGGAACAAGGA